GTAATAAATTATTTAGGAAATTTAGTTCATACAACATTCATAAAAGCTATTATGTTAAATTGTTCAACTTCATTTTCGACCTATGATTCTATTCTACATTAGCATGTGTAACTTTATTATTATTTTACTTAAACGCTAATTCTTAAACCTTGAAGTGAAGTCTATATAAGTTGTTTTTTGTCTTAACCTTTAAATTTACTTTTGTATAAATTTATTAGTTATATTATTTTCGAAATAAAAAAAATAAAAACACTAAAAATAACCTGTGATCATCATCCTTATTTTAGGTTAGGGTGCGATTATAAAATCAAATCAGATATAAAAGTTCATATTCTAGTTAGAGTTAGGTTTTAGGAAGTCCTGAATAGGTTTGCTCAGAATTCCAACATAAATTGCTAGTAGGCTTTTAAATATAACATCTTAATGATGATTACCATGGGTTATAGCTGGTAATATTCTTTTAAGCTATATAAATTTTGATAAATATAGAATTATCTATGAGGATTATTAAGAAAATAGCAGTAACCAAAGATTGTGAAAATTCAGATATATTTTTTTTGTAATATAGTTTGTTTGAATTTTTATTATCTTTTTTTTTTTGTGTTAAGTGAAGTTTTGCTTTTATCTTTATTTATAATTTGTAAAAGATACCTTCCGAAGCTTTTTGGATAAACCAATTACAAATCTTTTTATGAATAAAGCTCAAACTATAGACAAAACCTATCTAATTTATATACAATTTGAAAAATAACGAAAGCAAAAAGTACGTCTTTTCATTTGATCACCAAATATGCTGTCTGTGTACTATTTCATCATGTCGAGCCAATCCAAAATCCCAAATCCTAAGTAAATTTATAACGCACGTATATACAAATTAGGGTGTCATGCGGAATTTTATGATAAAGGTTAATCCTCGTGACACTAGTAAGGTTTAGCCTCGTAACACTAGTACGTACGAAATGTAACCATATCAAATAATAATAATGATAACCATATCAAATCAAATAATAATAGATAACCATATTAAATCAAATAATAATGATAACTCAAATCAAATTTTTTTTTGGAAAGTAAACAATGAAAATATCTCATGTAATTAATGAAAATATGTCTCATGATATGGCGTTTTATTTGTGCATCAAACCTTTTTCCTTTTACCGTTCTTTAAAAAAATTAGACTGTCATTGCTTTTACCTTTTGTATCCCTTTAGTTGGAGACCAAGTATTACGATATGATAGCATAAATTGGAAAAGAAATCGATGTACTAAAAAAAGTAAAAAGATCTTTGTTATGTTAAGAGTTTAACGCAAACTAAACTTTACTTAACTATATATATAAGCTTTTTAGAAGTTTAAATTTTGAAGAAATATTTATCGCTTCAACAATAATGGGAGATGAAAAAGATGACATCCAATATAGAAAAAAGAACAATAACGTGACCTTTTCCTATAGTTGTCTTTCCAAAACATTTCAAAGGGGAGAACTAGGAATGTCAGATAGTTATTTGGCCGGAGACCTGAATTTTAATTATAACAATTGTCCAATTTCCTCAATAGAGCTTTATTTTAAAGGTGTTGAACGAATTGAACTTAGAGAAAGAGGAAGAACAAAAACTGACATATATAACGACCGTACACTAACAGAAAAATATTTAAATATTAAATTTGAAAAACCCGTGCGGATGAATTCTCATTCCTTCATTTTTCCCTTGCCCTCAAATTTATCAAGTTCTTTTAATGTTTATGATAAAAAGAATAATGTAGGTGGTCAAATAGATTACACTCTAAGTGCGACGGTTCATACAACTAATCGATTGGCAAGAAGAGACATTGTTGAAATTATTTGTCCATTAAAACAAATACTATTTAACAATCATATGACTTATATAGATGTGAAAGATACATATTATGATCCTCAGGGACTAGATCCCTTATTCAGATATTCATTTCTGATTCCAGAATATTTGGGCGTTGGGGAAAAGATTTATATTCCAATTAAAATTGAATTTAACACAACCACACACAACACAATTGAAATAATATTGATTAAAATTTCTTTGAAATTAGAAACGCAAATGTTTTTTGAAAAGGATAATCCGCTTGAAGATGTAAAAGAACGTTGTTGCTTTAATAAAGAAAAACCAACTAAAATCGTAGATAACGAGCTTTCTCAAAAACTTTCTTTACTAATTCCACATAATCTACCAACAACTCACATTGGCATGTTCGTAAACATTCGATATAAACTCTGTATATCTTTAGAGTTAACTGGCACGAATAACGAATTTAAGAGGGAACAATCTGTGATAGTGGCAAATATTAAACAACCAAATGACTTTTCGAAATATCATTCGTATCAAAATCAAAATTATTCTGAAATTGATAATAATGAAATAGTGAATAATTTTGAAGAGTCTACAAAGACCAACAATGAACAAGGACTTAATAGATCATATTCAAATTCTAAAGCTTCTCAAAATTCTTCCAATAAAGGAAATCAAAGCTAAATTTACATATGCGGCTTGAACATTCTTGAATATTGTAGGTTGAACATTCTAAGTTCATTATTCTTGAATATCATGTTGAGCTTTCTTAAATATCATGCTGAACTTTCTTGAATATTATGAATTGAATGTTCTTAAATATTATGAATTGTAAGACATCCTCAAATATTTTAAGCTCAGAGTTCATAAATATTTCGAATTTAATATGTTGTATTTACTTGGTGTCCATTTATATCGAATATCCGAGCTATTAGAGTTATTTAATATAAACATTTATAATAATTTCTATCTTTCAAGCTCAGTTTATTTTTCTTTAAGTTTCTAGTAATTATTCAGAGGTTTTACACCTCATGAAATTATTATAAAAAAGGATATAACAGTAAAAATATTGCTTAACTTCGGTTTTTGTATTTTATCATCGTCAATTTAATACGTGATGATTATTAATTATCATTTCTGCATCATTTCTCAACTTATGTCACTTTTGACTTAGAAAACAACATACGCATAAGTCGTTTTGCATCATTTTACAGGCAGGTTTGCCTGCGAATGCACTTTTTTGAACAGTTCAATATATAAATTGTACAGTCGTCCTCCCATACAATCACATAATTGTTCACATTGTAAATTTTTTTTCAAAATCTGCTTACAAAAGAGTTGTGCTTATATGGGCCTAAATGTGAATGCGATTACATATGATGTGATTATATGGGTGGTGACTATATGGAGATGACTGTAATTTAAAGCATCTCGACAGATTCTGTTCACACTCCAAAATTTTAAATGCGTATGATGTATACTTCGACATACACTTATTATATCGATATTGTTATATTTAATGATTATTAACCATAGTAAATGCGTAGTATGTACCTTAAAATTTTGGGGTGTAAACAGAATCCGCCGAGATGGATATAAGCAAACTAAATCGCCCATCTGAGAGTTTTCTAATACCATTTTTTGGCGTGCATAGTAAGGATGGGCCGCTGCGCATGTTGTGCAAAATTTTTGAGGGACTGCGCAGTGTGATTTTTAAAATTCAGACTAGCCATTGTTATTATCGAATTCGGAAGAGCGTCAGGATATTAGTGTCGTATTTATCCAGTGATAGTAGATTATGTGGAATTAGTAAAGAAAGTTTTTGAGAAAGCTCGTTATCTACGATTTTAGTTGGTTTT